ATAGAAAATATCAACAAAGACAGAAATTATCAAAAGAAACCAAGTAGAAATTGTGAAGCTGAAAAGTACAATAGCTGAAATAAAAATTCAGAGGGTTGCAATAGCAGATTTGAGCAGGCAGAATAAAGAATGAGTGAACTTAAAACTGTCAATAAAAATCAAAATTATCCAGACTGAGAAGCATAAAGAAAAAAGAATGGCTGGGTGCCATGGCTCACATTTGTAATCTCTGCACTGTGGGAGGATGAGGCAAGAGGATTGCTTGAACCCAGTAGTTCAAGACCAGCCTGGGCAACACAGCAAGACTCTGTCTTTACAAAAATTAAAACCAAAAAAAATGTTTGCTAGGTATAGTGGTGCAAGTCTGTAGTTTGAGCTACTTGGAAGGCTGAAGTGGGAAGACCTCTTGAGCCCAGGAGTTCAGGTATGCAGTGAGCCAGCCATAATTGTGCCTGTTAGCCTGAGTGACAGAGCCAGACTCTGTCTTAAACAAAAGTAAAATAAAATAAAGAATAATTACTGGAGTCTTTAAAAATCTATGGGAATAATCGAGAGTATCACCATACATATTACAAGAGTCCCAGAAGGAGAGGAAAAATAAAACAGTGGGAAAAAATGTTGAATAAATAACCAAAAACATCCCAGATTTTGGAAGAACCCAAGAATCTCAACAAACTCCAATAAAGATAAAACAGTTCCACACTGAGACACATAATAATCAAATTGTCAAAAGACAAAGACAAATAAAAGAATCTTAAAAGCAGTGAGAGAAATGATTTGTCACATACAAGTGATTCTCAATCATAAGCACATCTGATTTCTCATCAGAAACTATGTAGGCAAGAAGGCAGTGGGATAACATATTCAAAATGCTGAAAGAAAAAGACTATCTACCAAGAATTGTATATTCAGCAAACTGTCCTTCAAAAACAACAGAGAAATTAATATATTAGCATGTAAATAAAAGCTGAAGAAGTCTGTCACAAGTAGACCTTTACTATAAGAAATACTAAAAGGAGTTCTTCAGACTTAAATAAAAGAAAACTAAACAGCAACTCAAAGCTATAAGAAGAAATCAAGACATTAGATAGATATAACTACATCTTTAAATACAAAAGCCAGGACTGATATGTTTTTGGTGTGTAGTTTCTCTTTGTTTATATGATTTAAAAGGCAAGTGCATAAAATAATTACAAATCTATGTTGCCAGGTGCGGTGGCTCAAGCCTGTAATCCCAGCACTTTGGGAGGCCGAGGAGGGTGGATCATGAGGTCAAGAGATCGAGACCATCCTGGTCAACATGGTGAAACCCCGTCTCTACTAAAAATACAAAAAATTAGCTGGACATGGTGGCGTGTGACTGTAATCCCAGCTACTCAGGAAGCTGAGGCAGGAGAATTGCCTGAACCCAGGAGGCAGAGGTTGCAGTGAGCCGAGATCACGCCATTGCACTCCAGCCTGGGTAAGAAGAGCAAAACTCCATCTCAAAAAAAAAAGAACAAAGACAAGTGCATAAAATAATTACAAATCTATGTTAATAGACACACAATGTATATAGATGTAATTGGTAATAAAAGAAACATAAAGGAGAGGACTCAGCTGCTTAGGAGCAGAGTTTCTGTATGCTATTGAAACTAAGTTGGTATAATTTCAAATGCGGTTATTATAGATTTAGGTGGAAACAACCCAAATGTCAATGGAGGAACAGGTAAATAAAATGTGGTATACACACAATATGGAATATATTCAGCCATAAAAAGGAATAAAGTTCTGATCTACAATGTATAATTTTTTAGGTATATAAACCTCAGGAAAAAAAAACTGTGAAGGAAGCTAGACATTAAAGGTCCATATTGTAATATTGTATGATTCAATACTGTGGGAAGGGGAGAAGAGAGAGTGCTTAAGAGTTATGGGATTTCCTTTTAGGATGATAAAAAATGTTTTACAGGTGATGGTTGTAGAATATTGTGAATGCACTAAATGTCACTGAATTGTACACTTTAAAATGGTTACTTTAAGAGAATTTGACCTTAGGATTTTTTAAAAATTAAAAGCCCTGACCATGCAGAAACATGAAAATATTCATACTGTATTACAATTGCATACCACAGGCAGTTCTTTTTTTAAAGAGGAAACAGAAAATAATAGCATGCACTGCATAGAGTAATGTTAAGTATAATGCTTTTAAAGCTTTTGTTTTAGTTAAGTGTAGTTTTGTATAATTATTAGGTTATAATGTACAATATTTTTTATTGTGGATTGCAACAAAAAAAATGGAAAGTGCCTGAAAATAAAATCTTACTGCTACACTCTTTTAATTATTCTTCTGTGACAGGCATGGAAGCGTGCAACTCTGATCTTTCGTTTAAAAAAAAAGTCACTGAGCTGTGAGGAGTGCAGTTTGTTGGGAAAAGCATCAAAGGAGAAAGGACTTACAAGTTAACTAACAGCCTCTGGCTGCAAAGCCTTTGACATCTGTTAAAGCCTTTGTGCTAAAACCATCTTCCCAGGCAGCCTCCACCCTGGCAGATACCAGGGCCTGGCCTTGTCTGCCCACTGCAGGACTTCTCTTCCTATTGGGTTAGCCAAGACTCTGTCAAATCTCTATTGCAATCTTAGACTGCCCCTACCCAATTCCACTTGCATCAATCTTTCCTTTTACAAATGTCAGATCTGTATCAAGATCTGAAGATTTACCAGGTCCAATTCTTCTTCCTTCCCTTTAGTATTTCACAAGATATACTTCCCAAAATCCTACTTCCAACTTGGCATTAGCTTCCGGGGTAATGCAAACTGATATAACCTTATAGCTCTTATCACAATTTGTAATATGATATGAGTTTATATATTGCCTCCATCACATAGCAATTTCCTCAGCTGCCTTTTTTACTGAAGGGTCCTCCTCTCACAAAACCTGGATAACTTCCTCATTGCCTCCCTCCTGTAGCCTGTACAGGGGAGTAATGGTTTTACTTTGTGCCTTCCATAAAGGCATCCTGCTAAGAGAGTAAGAGGGGGCTGAAATCCTGTTTCAGGGCTACATCTGCCAAGAGCAGAATTTCTCAACCATGGCACTACTGACATTTTAAAATAGTTAATCCTTTGTAGTGGTGGGGGGCTGTCCTGTGAACATTATGATGTTTGGTAGTATTATCTGTCCTTGCCACCGGTACTCTCCCTAATTGTGACATTTATAAATGTCTCCAGGCATTGCCAATTGTCCCCAGGGGGGAAAAACTGTTCCTGCTTGAGAACCTTTAGCTTTGATGAAACAGCATTTTCCTACTTTCTCCAAAAGTGTCATACGGTCAGTTAGTAGTCCTGCTAGAACTTATCACAGTCCTGGGAATATTCCTCCAGGCTAAGCAGGCCCAGATTCCTTGGTAGGAACTGGCACACAGTGTGAAACTTTCAGTCTCTTTTACCTTCATTTTTTTTAGACCCGACATGGGTCTGCATGTGTTTCCATGTGTTACAGGCCTAGGATGGGACAGATTATCCCAAGTGGCTGACTGTGAACTGCAAAACCACATCCAATCATCTTCTCATTATAGTCTCCCCTCCAAGCAGACAGAAACTTAAAGGAGGACCAACCCAGGGCAACATTGAAACCACCTTTGCAAAATTATGACTGAGACGGTGAAAGAGATCTAACTTAACCGACTCCATCTTGCTTCTAACCTCCACGCTGAAGTAACTTTGGGAGAAACTTAAGTTTGTAGTTTATAGTTTAAACAAAGACGGTAACAACCCTTTCCCAAAGGAGATCTCCTTCTTGCCTGGAGACTAGATTGCCTTTGTAGAACTAACATTAGTCACAATATCAGAAATTATGGTTTGCAGCTGGAGGTTACAAGATTCTGACCCTCCCTAATCTGCTCCTAAGATCAGTGCTTGAGATATTTTGCAGACCCAGCACTTAAGGGATCAGCTGACACCACCCAGAGCAATAAACTGGCTCATTTAATCTTGTGACCTCCCACCCCGAAACCCAGGAACTGACTGAGCAAGAACACAGCTTCCACATCCTATGATTTCATCCCTGACTAATCAGCACTCTAGTTCACTTGCTCCCCACCACCCACTAAGTTATCCTTAAAAACTGATCCCATAATGCTCAAGGGAGACTGATTTTAGTAATAATGAAACTAGTCTCCCACACAGCCAGCTCTGCATGTTACTCTTTCTCTATGGCAATTACCTTCTCTTGATGAATCAGCTCTGTGTAGGCAGCAGGCAAGGTGAACCCCTTGGGCAGTTACAGCATGTTGACATTAATGGACAGATGAACACTTTCCCTTGGCCACTAGGCCTCCTCATCACACTTTGCTATCCACAAACTGTTTAATTCAGTTTTGCTTGGAAAATTATTAGTCATCTTATGTAAATTCCTGTGACCATTCATGTTGGAGCATAATATATGCTACTTCCTTCTCACATGAGAAGTGACTAATTTTTAAAAATGTGCATTTCTAAGTGCCTGCCATTAATATTTCAGGGTTCCTATTTTGTCTAAAGGTGTGAGCCACGACCATCTTCATCGGGCACAGAAACCTCAGTTTCAGATGCTTTTGAAATCGGAATGCCAATCCCTTCAAACTTCCTCTATCAAAGTATATTTCATACACGCCATTTAACCTGTTTTAAGGCGGGCTTTTCCCACAAACCTAGTGGAAATCCATGTCCAACCATTTTCTCATTATGATGTACAAGCAAGAAACTTCATTTTATTCAAGTAAATTTGCTTCCTTTCCCCTACCTCCAACTGTTGTTTTTCATTACTTGCAGTCATGTGGATGTTTTATACTTATATTTTGGATTCTGATTATTCGGTGTAGATATAGGACGACTTAGGAGGGATTGCAAGTCACTTTAAAAAAATTAATCCATTACAATCTTTTCAGTATAGGACTCTAAGTCTTAACAGGAAAATGTGATATATGACCAGGAAGCTGACCAATTTTCTTAGATGAACGATAAAATAAAAAGAAACTCACTTGTCACAAATGCGGATGAGCGGTGGAAGAGGGCACATTTCATGCAGGATTGGAAGCGGACAGAATTTGGGGCTGAAAACACGCCTTATTACCCTGGCTTCCACTTCTCTACTTTCAAGACTGAACCAACGAGTTCTATACAAGGCAAAAGATACACCTGCGGTGGTTAAGAGTGCAGATTCATTGGGCGCAGTCTAACGAGGGACGCAGCCTGGAAGCCACTGTTAGAAACTGCATACTGCAACCTAGAGTTGTCAAGATTAATGTTTCTAGAATGAGAGGTGATTAAAAAAAATCTTTTTAATCACTTCCTGGCACGGTGCAGTTGCTTGCCTGTGTAATCCCAGCACTCTGGGAGGCCGAGATGGGAAGATCGCTTGAACCCACGAGTTCGAGACTAGCCTGGGCAACATGGTGAGACCTGCTCTCTACAAAAAAAAAATTAAAATCAGCGAAACCTCGTCGCGCGCGCCTGTAGTTAAAGATACTGGGAGGCTGAGGTGGGAAGATCCCTTGGAGTTTCAGGCTGCAGTAGAACCATTATTGCACTAATGCACTCAGGCCTGGGCGACACAGAGAGACCCTGTCCCCCACACCCCACCCCCACCCCCACAAATCACACTTCTTGTGGAAACCGTTCAAACTAAACATCCCACTTTGTGCGTAACTTTACATTCAATCCATCATTCCCTCAAAAACAAAATGTTCTTTATCCGCCTCAAACATGGAGGACTGAGAAAAACATAAGTTCTCTCAAACCCACGGAGCACGCAGATTTCCGGCGATAGAAGGGAGGGATAGCAGCCTTTACTGCGCACAGCCCGTAGGGGAGGACGGCAGCTAGAAAGGGCCAAACTTCACCGCAGCAGCGCGCGCGCGGCTTGCGGCGTCTCCGACGTCAGCCTTGCAGCGACAGAGCATCACCTGAGGAATGAGGGCATTCAAGTTGGGCGCGTGCGCTGCGAAGACGAAACGAATTAGCTCGCCCCTGTCTGTGACAGCTTATGGTCGCCTACTTTTTGTGGAAACACTACGGTCCACGAGTGCGGAGGCAGCCAGAAATTTGCCTGCGTCCCAGTAAGACGCACGGTGGCGCAATTCCGACCCTACCAATCCCAGGCTGACTGGAGGGCGGGCTTTTCAAATTTGAATTGCGGAAGTGTTGTGGGTGTTAGAGAACCTCGCGGAGTAGGTAAGCGTCGCTTGGGGCCCGGCCGTCGCGGGCAGGGGCCACCGTGGGCCTGAGACGAGAGCCCCGCGGCGTCCGGCCCTCCCTCCGCGCGGAGCCAAGCCTGCACTACCACAGTCTCGCCCTACCAGGCCCTTCACCCAAGGTACGTCCTCCTCGCGTCCTTCGCTCGCCTCCCGTCGCGAGTCCCCGCCGGTGGTGGGCGGCCTGTCCTTTCAGCACCTCGGCCCACGCCGTTTTATTATTAATTTTCGTAGATTTCTAGCTTTGGTACTGATTTTACAGCTGCGCACTCGATGTTTATTTGTTGCGTGTCTACTGCAGAGTAGAACACGATTGCTCACATTTATTTCTATGGTGAGCGTTCTAGGTCTTTGTTCTAAAGTCACTTAAAAAAAAAAAAGAATACCAAGTAGGAAAATTGTGTGCCCTAGTACCCAACTCTTCCCCTTGGGGACCCAGGGCTACAGAAGAAGTTCATCCATTCAGTTTATGTTTTCTTCTAAAACACAGCTTTAGATATTAATAAAATTACTTAGAAAATGGTCCGGCGCGGTGGCTCACACCTGTAATCCCAGCACTTTGGGAGGCCGAGGCAGGTGGATCATTTAAAGTCAGGAGTTCAAAAAAATGATAGGTCACCTCACCCTGTCCTTCAGAGATAATACTGTTCACAATTTGGTTCACTTGCTTCCAGAGTTTTTCTCTATGCTTATATGTGTTTCATTTATTTATTTATTTTTACAGAAATGCAATTATATGTTCTGTTCTGCTACATTTTTTCAATTTAATATTTCTTGGATTTTTTCCATGTAAGTACATATATATCTTTTTGTTGAATACATGGAGTAAATTGTATGGATGTGGCGGAATTTATTTTGTCCTTTATTGGTGGACATCTGGGTTGTTTAATTTCATTTTATGGTGCAGGTACTGCAGCATGAACTTCCCTGTGTAGTGGTTGTGTACGCTATGTTGCCTGTTGGTAAAGAACTTAGACTTTGGAGGTAGAATTAGATCATCTTTCTCACTTACTGTTAAGTAAACCTTGGTCGGGTTATTTAACCACCTATACCTTAATTTCTCTCTTTTCAAACTGGGAATAACCACAGTACTTAACTCTTTAGAGTTGCTGTTAGATTATATAGTGACTGGCATGTCAATATTCAGTGAATATCGGCTATTATGATGCATATATATTTGCATTCTTATGTAGGTGTTTCTGTAAGAAAAAAACAAGTTAGAAGTGGAATTTCCGTGTCAGTGGCATACAGACTTGCATTTTGAAATTAATCTTTACCAATATGATATGTAAAAGAAGTCTCACTGTTACAGTTTGCATCTCCGTTTATTAGTAAAATCAGGTGTTACTTGTTTATTGACCTTTTCTATTTCTTCTATTAATTGTCTTTCATGTCCTGTGACCATTTTCTGTTTTGAACATTTTTTTTTTAATTGATTCAGTAGGTCTCTGAATGTTATGTAAATTAATCCTTTGTCATAGGTGCTGAGTACTTATTTCAAGTGTATCATTTACCTCTTAACTTAAAATTCTATTTTTTTTTTTTTTTTTTGCCAATCAGTTTGAGCTTATAAGGTTGCTCAGGTTAGCTTTGAACTGATGAATTCGCCTTCGCAAGCACCACGACCTCCGGCGGGAGCCACTTTGGACCCCTAAAATTCTATTTTTATGCCGAATTCTGTCTCCCAGTTTTGGTTAGTGTGCTCTGGGGTTTTTGACCCCTTCATAGTAATAGCTATTACTATTGTTACCAATACAGTAAATTCTTACAAGAACGTTCCATCTTTTGGGAGGAGGAGGAGGAGTAGTTATATTCAGGATCATATACATAACAATTGTTTAGCTTCAGTTCTGTGTTTATATGTGTCACTTATAACTGCCTGGGATATGTTCTGAGAAATACATTCAGGTGATTTTTGTCACTGTGCCTGTATCATAGAGTGTACTTATAAAAACCCAGGCTATATGTTATATTCTATTGCTCCTAGGCGCCAAACCTGTAACACAGCATGTTACTTTACTGAATATTGTTGGCAGTTGTAACATGGTGATAAGTATTTGTGTATCTAAACATATCAAAATATAGAAAAGGTTCAGTAAAAATAAGGTATCCTATGGGACCTCCATATGTGTGATCTGACATCATTATGCAGTACATGACTGTACTATAAATGCTATGGCCAGCCCTTTCCTACATGGTTTTCCCATTCCTTTGTCTTCATGTTGAAAACATTTTTTTTTTCCTAGTACATCAGCATTTGTCAGCTTTTAGAATAAGTTTTAAGGATTAGATTTTCCAAACAACTTTAAGCAGTTGATGAAAAGAGAAACATACTTTATCCAGTCTTAGAGGGAACTGACAATGAGTGACCTCCGTCTGTCAGGTCAACAAATGTGCTTGGTTGGCTTCAGGACAAACTATTCTTTCCTTCACTTGAGGGATACCAGTTATTTAGTCTCCACTAATGTCTGTGTTTCATCAGAGGCTGATTTATTTTGTTCTTTTAACTAGGAAGGAAATGGAGCTTCAGATCTGTCTTGGTTTATCTAGACCCAGTGTTTTTTTTTTTTTTAATTTATTTACTCTGCAAAGCCTCTGTGGTCAGTGGAAATTGTAGACTATTTTTTTTCTCTTTATTCTGTCTTTAACAAACCCCTGGCAAATATTGGCTGCTTTTTTTTTTTTTTTTTTGACTTACATTGAGTTGCTATTTATCACATGGTGGGAAAAAGGTATCTTAGAGCAACTTTCTGCATCTTTGGGAGGGGAAGTGGAATTTGAAGGCTTTTCAGAATCTTGGCTACCCAATCTTTATCCTACTACTTGCGTGAATTGGGGGCAAAGATGTTAGGCAACAGAAATCTTTGTGCTGGTTCTTTGAGCCTTTCTATGTGACCACTATTATCTGCCTTTAAATGGATACACTTCTACATGTCCATTACAGATTGGATCTGTTTTCAGTGCTCTTAGCTTATTTGCAGTTTTTACTTTCTGCTTAGCATTTCATTAGGCTCTGAGGAATTGAGACTGTGTAAACCTGAACATTCTTTGCCATTTTGCTTTGCAGTTTTCCAGTTTATTTTATTTATTTATTTATTTTATTTTTTGAGATGGAGCCTCACTTTGTTGCCCAGGCTGGAGTGCAGTGGTGTGATCTCAGCTCACTGCAACCTCCGCCTCCCAGAATCAAGTGATTCTTCTGATTCAGCCTCCTGAGTAGCTGTGACTACAGGCATGTGCCACCACACCTGGCTAATTTTTGTATTTTTAGTAGAGATAGAGTTTTGCCGTGTTGGTCAGCCTGGTCTTGAACTCCTAACCTCAAGTGATCCTCCTGTCTTGTCCTCCCAAAGTGATGGGATTACAGGTGTGCGCCACCACAACCAGCCGAGTTTATTCATTTGTGATTTTGAGTGATTATACAGCTTTATTGTCTTTCTTTGAAATGAACAGCTAAGCCGGACATGGTGGTTCACTCCTTCCAGCACTTGTGGAAGGCCAAGTCAGGAGAATCACTTGAGCCAGGAGTTCGAGACCAGTCTGGGCAACAGGCTGTAATCCCGCCTATAATCCCAGCAATTTGGGAGTCCGAGGCAAGTGGATCACCCGAGGTCAGGAGTTAGAGACTCCCCCTGACCAATATGGTGAAAACCCATCTCTAACTAAAAATACAAAAAATAACTGGGTGTGGTGATGTGCGCCTGTGATCCCAGCTACTCAGGAGGCTGAGACAGGAGAATTGCTTGAACTCGTGAGGTGGAGGTTGCGGTGAGCCGAGATTGAGCCATTTTACTCCAGCCCGGGCAACAGAGTGAGACTCCCTCTCAAAAAACAAAAACAAAACATAGCTCAGGTGCAGAGGCACACACTACTACAAAAATTAGCTGGCTGTGGTGATGTGCGCCTATGGTCCCAGCTACTCTGGAGGCTGAGGTAAGAGACTTGATTGAGCCCTGGATTTCGAGGTTGCAAGGATCCCTGATCACATCATTGCACTCCAGCCTGGGTGAAAGAGACACTGTCTCAAAAACAAAACAGAAATGAAGCGAATGGTTAATATAACATCCAGCACAAGAACTCATGGAACTAGCACATAGTAAACATATACATGCATGCATTAATACGTATTTGCAGTATTCATATTATGTGGAAGAATTATAGCAGTTTTTAGAGCTCCAGACTTCAAAGATACCCCTCTTTGTTGGCTGTTATAATATAGGAATATTTTCCTTTTTTTTCTCTATTAACATAAATTATTGGATTAGATAATACTTTTTATATTAATTGCTTATTTCTTACAGATGTTCCTGTAGATAAAGATAATTGATATCTTTTGTCTGGCTATGTTAGAATTTTCTGTCATAGGTTTTTTTATGTTTATATGATATTAACTAATTGGAATAGTTATAAATTCAGCAGTAAGAGATGCTGTAAATCTAGACTAGTAAGTTCCAGGATCCTTGGACTGAAATATTTATTTACCAAATATTAGTTAATGTAACTGTATGGTTCCTCGCCTAGAACCTTAATTTCTAGGTGTGAATAATAAAACTTATACATAAGAAACAAGTTAAAGCAAGGCTAAAACTGTGTAAACTTAAGTACAATGTTTCTGCTAAAAATTTTAAATAGTATTACAAAAATCAGAATGAAAATAATCTACCATTTGAGGATTTTTCAACTAAGACTTTAAAATGTAAATGCTCTAGAGCATAAAAAATCAGGATTGGGTATTATTAAATAATTGAATAGTTTTTTTTTTTTTAGCTTTTATTAGAATAGATCATTGTAGTTGCTGCCTTAAAATTTAAGTGTCTAAAGAGAAAAATTATATTTGTAAAACTTTATCTTTTGTAACCTAATGTATTGCCATGTGCATGTATCATTTATTTATTATTTTTTTTTTGAGACAGGGTCTTTCTTTGTCACCCAGGCTGGAGTACAGTGGCACAATCATGGCTCACTGCAGCCTTGACTTCCTAGGCTCAAGTGATCCTCTCTGCTCAGCCTCCCAAGTAGCTAGGACTGCAGGCGTGTGCACCATCACACCCAGCTCTTTTTTTATTTGTTTGTTAATCAATGAGAGCTTGTAACGTTGCTCAGGTTGGCCTTGAACTCATGGCCTCACCTCCTCAAGCACCAGGACATCTGGCCAGAGCCACTGCGGCCCCAACCCAGCTCTTTTTTTAAGTAGACTTTAACAAAAATAAAATCTTAGTCTGATTTGTGAGCTATAGATTATCTAGCATTGTTATGAACCAGTTTAACATTTTAATTAATATAGTGTTGTGGAAAGCATATAAACTTTAAACCTTTTCTGCATCTAAGCATGATAAAGGCTGATTTTACATTGAACTACAGGTTTCTGTGGATCGCTGCTGAAGTTCTGTCTGAAAATTGTGCTGAAGTGAATTTTCTGTTAGAAGAACTTGCTTGCTACTGTCCTGTCAAGATGATTGCAACACCTGTGAAACATCCAAGAATTTACTTACCTTCAGAGACATCGTCTCAAAGGAAAGATCTACCCATGGATGCAATCTTTTTTGACAGCATACCTTCAGGCACACTTACTCCTGTAAAAGATTTGGTGAAATATCAGAACTCCTCTTTAAAGTTGAATGACCATAAAAAGAATCAGTTCCTAGAAATGACAACTTTTAACAATAAAAATATATTTCAATCAACCATGCTGGCAGAGGCTGCCATCTCTAACAGTTCTCTTGATATCAGTGTTATAAAGCCCAACAAGGATGGATTAAAAAATAAAGCAAACTATGAATCACCAGGAAAAATATTTCAAAGAATGAAAGAAAAAGTACTGCGTGACAAGCAAGAACAGCCATCAAGAAACAATAGTTTGTTGGAACCACAGAAAAGTGGAAGTAGTGAAACCTTCACTCCTAACAGAGTTGGCAAAAATCTACTGCAGCATACCTACCTCTGTGAAGAAAAGGAAAACAACAAATTATTCCAGTCAGATAACAGTTCACTAAGAGGTTAGTTTTATGTGTTAGCTAAAAAGCTGTAATGTCTTAAGTGTTTAATGTGTCAGACACTGTTTTAGGTGCTAGAATATAGCTGTGAGTAAAATGGACAAAAATCCTTGCCTTTGTGTAACTCACATTCATGTGGTGGGAAGACATAATGAACATATTAAACAAGTAATTTTTTATGGCATAATAGAAAAGAAAAAGAAGAAAAAGGAGAATTAGGATGCTGGGGAAGAGTTGGAGGGGGATGTAATTTTCAGTGAAGTGGTCAGTGAAGCTTCAATAAGAAGATGGAAATTTGAGCCCACAAAATTGAATGAGATAATAGATATACGTATCTTGAGGAATGGGGAAGGATGATCTAGGCAGGTAACAGCTGTTATAAACGCCTTGAAATAGGAGCATGCCTGACATGTTGAATGACTAGCTAAGAAGTTAGTGTATCATGGAGTGATTAGATAGAGCTGAGGAGGGAGAAATAAGGGTGGGTCAGATAATGTAAGGGCCTTATAGGTAAATATAAGAGTTTTGCCTTTTACTGTGAGCAGAATAAGGCATTGGAGGGTTTTGAGCATGTGAATGACAAGATCTGAATTATGAGGGTTTTTTTTGGTTTGTTGATTAACCATTGAGTACAATGACTTAAGTTTTTAAAATACCACTCTGGCTGTTCTGAAATAGTTACTACAGTAAGCCAGATGACAGCCAGTGTTGGCTTGGTTCATGTGTTAGTAGTGAAGATACTAGGTGGCTGGACTCTGGCTGTGTTTTGAAGGGATAGCCAATAGGATTAGCTCATAGATTGGGTGTAGAATATAAGACAAAAAGATATAAAGGACAGCTCAGGGTGTTTTTTGTTTTGTTATTTGATTGTGGCCTAAGCAACCAAGAAGATGATTTAACTGAAATGGGACAGACTGAAGGAGGAATGAAGTGCGGGCTCAATAGTTAAGATTTTTGTCATGTTAATTTTGATAATGTCTATTAAAGATCTAAGTTTAGGTATAATTAGGGTGTTGGAAAAAACTAATGGGAATATAAGGAAATGATTAAGGCGACAAAAGTACATTTGGGAATTTCTAGCACCTAAATGGTATTTCAAAAGCAATGAGATTAGATGAAGTCATCAAGGAGTAAGTGTAGAAAGAAAAAACATTCAAGACCTGCACCCTTGGGTACTCCAGCTTTACAAGGTAGAATAGAGTAGAAAGGCCAACTGAGTGTTGTGGCTCACGCCTGTAATCCCAGCACTTTGGAAGGCCGAGGCGGGCAGATGACCTGAGGTTGAGAGTTGGAGACCAGCCAGACCAACATGGAGAAACCCTTTCTCTACTAAAAATACAAAATTAGCCAGGCGTGGTGGTACATGCCTGTAATCCCAGCTACTCAGGAGGCTGAGGCAGGAGAATCTTGAATCTGGCAGGCGGAGGTTGTAGTGAGCCGAGATCGTGCTATTGCATTCCAGCCTGGGCAACAAGAGCAAAGCTCTAAGGGGAAAACAAACAAACAAAAAAAAAAGAGTAGAAAGGCCACTGAGAATACCAGGAGAGTGATACAGTGAAAGCCAAGAGAACGAAGTACTTTAAGTTGGGAGTTGTCAGCTGTCTACTGCTTCTAATTGGTCAAGTAGGCTGAGATTCTACTGGTCGATTCAGCAATAGGAAGTCGTTGTTGACTTTTTAAGGGTGGTTTTGGAGGAATGATAGCAATGAAAACATTTGAAAGGGTTCAGGAGAGAACATGACAAGAGGAATTGGCAGTAGTGAACATAGACAGGTCTTTTTGAGGGGGGCAAAGAAATAATGGCAAGTGTAGTTTAAAGTTTTATCATTTTTAATACTTGGTGAAATGCAGCATTTTTGTATGCTGTTGGGAATAATGAGGTAGGAAGAAAAAAATTGAAATTGCTAGTATGATGCCCTTTAGTAATTGATTGAGAGGAAATATCATCTAATGCATCATTAGAGGTTTGACCAGAACACAGCAGACCAATTGTTAACAGAAAAGAAAGCCGTTTACACAGACTTTGGTGGGTCATTATTGTATGACTTCACAAATAATCTGAAATAAGAAGTAAAGTCATCAGCTGAGCGAATGTGGAAAGCAGTTTGAGGAGGTAGAGGTTTGAATAGTTTGGAAGAGGCCTAAATTTGATTTCCTGGGTAACACAGAAGAGCTGTTTAAGATATATGGACATGAATTTAAACTGGAACCACTAAATATGGCTATGAGTTTTCCTTTAACCCTGTGTAGCTGCTAAGGTGCTGGTATAGAATAGGGAGGGAATTGGATTTAACTGGGTTGTAATTTTGCCAAATAGAATAAAGTGACAGAGGACAGAGGAGTTAAGGGTGTATGTGAAGGAGTCATGGTGAAATTTAAGTTGATCAATGAGGGCAAAGGATCTGAAGGAGATGAGGGATTGTGAAGAAGTAAACGTTTTGTTTGGATAGTCACTGGATTTGAGAGAATTATCTGGAAAGATAGACACTATAACAGTTGAAATCGAGATTTTACTGAGTTTCAGTCATTGATAATGAAAGGTATTTTACATGTATTATCTCTCTCTTTTTTGAGATGGAGTTTCAGTTTTGTTGCCCAGGCTGGAATGCAATGGCATGATCTCGGCTCACCGCAACCTCTGCCGCCGAGATACAAGCGTGTCTCCTGCCTCAGCATTCCTGAGCAGCTGGGATTACAGGCATGCACCACCATGCCTGACTAATTTTGTATTTTTAGTAGAGATGGTTTTTTCCATGTTGGTCAGGCTGGTCTCGAACTCCTGACCTCAGGTGATCTGCCTGCTATTGCTTCCCAGAGTGCTGGGATTACAGGCATGAGCCACCAAGCCTGGGCTTATTATCTCTTTTAATCCTTTCAACAAACACCCATTAGAAGTCTGTAAATGGGGTTTATAGAGAGAGTAAGTCTGCTTGCTGTATGTCTCATAGGTAACAAGTGATAGGCTGAGAACTGAATATAGCTATCTCTTAGAAAGCCCATGTTCTTAACCACTATACAGTAGGTTGTAGGTATGTTGTTGAATTTCCAAGACAGTGACATATTCCAACATAGTTTTCTAAGGGAGTTTGGGGGTAGAAGTGGGGAGACTCACAAAGTCATCTATTTGGCATATAGCCTAGGATAAAAGGAAGAAGCAAATGAAGTAATGCAGATTAAATTGTTTAAATACAATAAGGTAGCGTTTGAGAGTAAGAAATACCTGTTTTGAGAATTTGGTGACCCCTTTCCCCCAGAAAATATACACACAAATACAAACACAAATTTTATATATAGTTTTAGAAACCTTTTAGAGAGTCTGCATGAACCTTGGATTCCCAAATAAGTGAATAAATATAACTTGTTGCATTTGATTGAATTACTACTGAATTGTCTTGCCATTTTCAGTAGAATGAGTTAAAGATACAGAAATTTATCATTTCTTTTTGTGACATGTTGTTATAACAATCTTTATATTAACGATTTCTGAGATCAAAGTGGCATACTTAATTAAAGCATAGTCACTACCAGTTTTTTCAAGTATAAGATTTAAAATTAAACATATAAGATAATTATTCTCGGGATCAAATTTTAAGTCTTTTATCACCGCCTTTTTGTGTGAAAGAAACTACATTTGAGAACCTTAAGCTTCAAAGATCTAGGAGGTAAAGCATAATAAAATGTAAGCTGTGCTATTAGTCTTTATTTGTTTTAGTTGAGAAACCTTTGACTTCTGAGTGTCTGGAGGCCTACTAAAGAGCTGTCTAAAGAACATTAATTATGGTTGAGTCTGCTGTTGCATCTCAACATTTTAATTTTTAATGAATAAGTTGGAACTCTTTGTCTTTTATGCTTTTGAACTTTACAGCAAGCAGAGAAGAATCAGAGTTTTCAAGACTGGGTGACACTTTATATTGTAAGCTTAACATACACGTATCCAATCTGTGGCAGCACCAGAATTCCAGATCTCTAGGTTTCTAAGTCTAATACTTTTGTCTAAAGCTGGCAGGTTGTCTTGGAGAAGGTTTTAAAAAATTCTTCCTCATCATAATGTTGGTATAGAGAACGGGGTAAAGGTATGAAAAGATAGTACAGTGAAAAATGTATGTAACTATCATATATTGCAAAAGTACTATACTGGTTTGATCATTACTAAATCTAAGTGTCTTTGTTTCAAGAATTTTAAAAACTGTTTTTTTCTTTGTGACTAATACAATTCAACTTCTTCTTTCTTTAAAAGACAAAACCTTAACCTCAGTCCAAGAAGTTTCTCTAGAATCATCAAATAATGATACTTTCCTCCTGGTCCAACAAAAGATTCAGTGCCAGCAGGAAAAGAAAGTACCACTGCACAATTTAACTTACGGTAAACTATTTTTTGTCTGTTTTTTGTTTGTTACTTAAGTATATTATTACATGTCCTAGGTAATTATTTTCCCTGTGTGGGCATTAAACTTTGGCTGTGGACAAAAGCTTGAATCGTAAAAGAGACACTCGGAGAAAGACTGGGCAGGCGGGTGGAACATTCCTAACCTAAATTTCTCTTTTAATTTTATGTCATCCTTCTATAAATTTTGTTTTGTTTCGTGTTTTTTGCAGAACTTCCAACTCTGAATCAAGAACAGGAAAATTTTTTGGCTGCAGAAGCCCCAAACAAGGCATTAACTAGAGCTCAGTTGGCTAAACAAATTCTTCACTCAAAGGAAAATACAGTTGCAACCACTGGGTCTAAAAAGGACACATTTGTTTTAGAAGGCATAGATTCTGCTGATGAAAAGTTTCAAAATACTAACGCTGAGACTCTCAATACTAATTGTGTTCCTATTGGCAGTCTGTTAACGGTTTCTGAGAGTGAGAGGAGGACAGAAGGCACTTCGCAACAGGAAGTTAAGGAAGGAGATGAAAAAGCAGTGCCTGGGGTCACTGGTCTACCAGGTTCCACGAAAGATACATGTAAAATTGTACTTGCAACACCAAGACTTCATATAACAATACCTCGGAGGTCAAAAAGAAATGTTTCAAAGCTTTCTCCAAGAATATTTCAAACTATAACAAATGAAGTTAAAAAAAATCAGGTGGGAAAACTTTTAAGGCAGATATATTTTTACCCCATTCTTCAAGAGCTTTTAATGTTCTCTCGTTATTTTTTTTTTCCTAGCTAGGATTTGGACCTGTATGCTTCATTATTAACAGTGTCTTCATTATCATGTTTGTTTTATTATATACTATAGTGACCTAGTGAAAAGAACAGTGAGCTGAATGTAACAAGACCCAGGCGTTAAGTCTTACCTTGCTGTATTACTAGTTGTGTAGTCTTCAGTAATTTGCTTGTTCCCTTTGGTAATGAACACTGAATTCATATCTGCCCTTTTTTTCTGATACTTAGGGTGCTGTTAAAACAATTAGATCACTTAAGATAGAAAGGAATTGTAGTATCTGAAGATTTGAGAATTTTTTCCGAATTAAATATAGAGTAATCAATAAAAGACATTAAAGCATCAAACGGTTACATTAGGATGAATTCTCTGAAGAAAGTGGAAAGGAAATACAGACTTAAGGAGGAAGATGGAGTGAAAAATCTCCAATTGTTAAAGGTTTGCCCATTATTTATTTATTTATTTATATTTTGAGACCATGTTGGCCAAGCTGGTCTCCTAACTCCTGACCTCAAGCTATCCTCCTGTCTCAGCGTTCCAAAGTGTTGGGATTAAAGGTGTGAGCCACTGCATCCAGCCATTAATTCTTAAATGGATGATGGAGGTTATAAAATTGAGATGGTGTATAAATTCTATCTAAATTTTAATTAATCAATTTTTTAAATGAGGCCCTACTCTGTTTCCCAGGCTGGCTTCTTGGGCATCTAAGCCTCTGTGGTAGCCATCTAAATTATTATTATTAATTTTATTGCATTTTAGGTTTTGGGGTACATGTGCAGAACATGCAAGATAGTTGCATAGGTACACACATGGCAGTGTGTTCTGCTGTCTTCCTCCCCTTCACCCACATTTGGCATTTCTCCCCAGGCTATCCCTTCCCAGCTCCCCCCACCACTGTCCCTCCCCTATTTCCCCCAATAGACCCCAGTGTGTAGTACTCCCCTCCCTGTGTCCATGTGTTCTCATTTTTCATCACCCGCCTATGAGTGAGAATATGCGGTATTTCATTTTCTGTTCTTGTATCAGTTTGCTGAGAATGATGTTCTCCAGATTCATCCATGTCCCTACAAAGGACACGAACTCATCATTTTTGATTGCTGCATAATATTACATAGTGTATATATGCCACATTTTCCCAGTCCAGTCTATCATCAATGGGCATATGGGTTGGTTCCAGGTTTTTGCTATTGTAAACAGTGCTGCAATGAACATTCGTGTGCATGTGTCCTTATAGTAAAACGATTTATAGTCTTTGGGATATATACCAAGTAATGGGATTGCTGGGTCAAATGGAATTTCTATTTCTAAGGCCTTGAGGAATCGCCACACTGTCTTCCACAATGGTTGAACTAATTTACACTCCCACCAGCAGTGTAAAAGTGTTCCTATTTCTCTGCATCCTCTCCAGCATCTGTTGTCTCCAGATTTTTTAATGATCGCCATTCTAACTGGCGTGAGATGGTATCTCAATGTGGTTTTAATTTGATGAGCATTTTTTCATATGATTGTTGGCCTCATGTATGTCTTCTTTTATAAAGTGTCTGTTCATATCCTTTGCCCATTTTTGGATGGGCTTGTTTGTTTTTTTCCTGTAAATCTGCGTTCTTTGTAAATTCTGGATATCAGCCTTTTGTCAGATGGGTAAACTGCAAAAATTTTTCCCATTCTGTTGGTTGCTGAGTCACTCTAGTGACTGTTTCTTTTGCCGTGCAGAAGCTGTGGAGTTTGATTAGGTCCCATTTGTCTATTTTGGCTTTTGTTGCCAATGCTTTTGGTGTTTTGTTCCTGAAGTCCTTGCCTACTCCTATGTCCTGGATGGTTTTGCCTAGATTTTCTTCTAGGGTTTTTATGGTTCCTGGTCTTATGTTTAAGTCTTTAATTTATTGGGAGTTAATTTTAGTGTAAGGTGTCAGGAAGGGGTCCAGTTTCTGCTTTCTGCACATGGCTAGCCAGTTTTCCCAACACCATGTATTAAACAGGGAATCCTTTCTCCATTGCTTGTTTTTGTCAGGTTTATCAAAGATTGTATGGTTGTAGATATGTTGTGTTGCCTCCGGTGCCTCTGTTCTGTTCCATTGGTCTGTATCTCTGTTTTGGTACCAGTACCATGCTGTTTTGATTACTGTAGCCTTGTAGTATAGTTTGAAGTCCAGTAGTGTGATGCCTCCCGCTGTGTTCTTTTTGCTTAGAATTGACTTGGCTATGTGGGCTCTCTTTTGGTTCCATATGAAGTTCATGGTGTGCTTTTCCAGTTCTGTGAAGAAGGTCATTGGTAGCTTGATGGGGATAGCGTTGATTCTGTAAATTACTTTGGGCAGTATAGGCATTTTCACGATATTGATTCTTCCTAACCATGAACATGGAATGTTTCTCCATCTGTTTGTGTCTTCTCTGATTTCGTTGAGCAGTTGTTTGTAGTTTTCCTTGAAGAGGTCCCTTACATTCCTTGTAAGTTGTATTCCTAGGTATTTTTTTTTTGTAGCAATTGTGAATGGCAGTTCGTCCTTGATTTGGCTGTCTTTAAGTCTGTTATTGGTGTAGAGGAATGCTTGTGATTTTTGCACATTGATTTTATATCCTGAGACTTTGCTGAAGTTGCTTATCAGTTTCAGGAGTTTTTGGGCTGAGGCGATGGGGTCTTCTAGGTATACTATCATGTCGTCTGCAAATGGAGACAATTTGGCTTCCACCTTTTCTATTTGAATACCCTTAATTTCTTTTTCTTGCCTGATTGCTCTGGCTAGAACTTCCTGCACTATATTGAATAGGAGTGGTGAAAGAGGGCATCCTTGTCTAGTGCCGGATTTCAAAGGGAATGCTTCCAGTTTTTGCTCATTCAGTATGATATTGGCTGTTGGTTTGTCATAAATAGCTTTTATTACTTTGAGATACGTTCCATCGATACCGAGTTTATTGAGGGTTTTTAGCATAAAGGGCTGTTGAATTTTCTCGAACGTCTTCTTTGCATCAATTGAGATAATCATGTGGGTTTTGTTTTTGGTTCTGTTTATGTGGTGAATTACGTTTATAGACTTTCATATGTTGAACCAGCCTTGCATCCCCCGTATGAATTCTACTTGATTATGATGGATAAGTTTTTTGATGTGCTGTTGCAATCGGTTTGTCAGTATTTTATTGAAGATTTTTGCATCTATGTTCATCATGGATATTGGCCTGAAGTTTTCTTTTCTTGTTGAGTCTCTGCCGGGTTTTGGTATCAGGATGATGTTGGTCTCATAAAATGATTTGGGAAGGATTCCCTCTTTTTGGATTATTTGGAATAGTTTCAGAAGGAATGGTACCAGCTCCTCTTTGTATGTCTGATAGAATTCAGCTGTGAACCCATCTGGACCTGGGCTTTGTTTGAGTGATAGGCTCTTAATTGCTGCCTCGACTTCAGACCTTGTTATTGGTCTGTTCATAGTTTTGGCTTCCTCCTGGTTTAGGCTTGGGAGGATGCAGGTGTCTAGGAATTTATCCATTTCTTCCAGGTTTACTAACTTATGTGCATAGAGTTGTTTATAATATTCTCTGATGATGGTTTGAATGTCTGTGGAATCTGTGGTGATTTCCCCTTTATTGTTTATTATTACATCTATTTGGTTGTTCTCTCTTTTCTTTTTTATCAGTTTGGCTAGTGGTCTGTCTATTTTGTTGATCTTTTCAAAAAACCAGCTCTTGGATTTATTGATTTTTTTGAAGCATTTTTCGTGTCTCTATCTTCTTCAGTTCTGCTCTGATCTTAGTTATTTCTTGTCTTCTGCTAGGTTTTGAGTTTTTTTGATATTGCTCCTCTAGCTCTTTCAATTTTGACGACAGGGTGTCAATTTTGGATCTCTCCACTCTTCTCATATGGGCACTTATTGCTATATATTTTCCTCTGGAGACTGCTTTAAATGTGTCCCAGAGATTATGGTATGTTGTGTGTTCATTCTCGTTGGTTTCGAAGAACTTCTTTATTTCTGCCTTCATTTCATTGTTTATCCAGTCAACATTCAAGATCCAGTTGTTCAGTTTCTATGAAGCTGTGCGGTTCTGAGTTAGTTTCTGAATTCTGAGTTCTAACTGGATTGCACTGTGGTCTGAGAGACTGTTTGTTATGATTTCAGTTGTTTTGCATTTGCTGAGGATTGCTTTACTTCCAATTATGTGGTCAATTTTAGAGTAGGTGTGATGTGGTGCTGAGAAGAATGTATATTCTGTGGATTTGGGGTGGAGAGTTCTGTAAATGTCTATCAAGTTTGCTTGTTCCAAGTCTGAGTTCAAGCCCTGGATATCCTTGTTAATTTTCTGTCTGGTTGATCTGTCTAATATTGACAGTGGAGTGTTAAAGTCTCCCACTGTTATTGTGTGGGAGTCTAAGTCTTTTTGTAAGTCGTTAAGAACTTGCCTTGTATATCTGGGTGCTCCTGTATTGGGTCCATATATATTTAGGATCGTTAGCTCTTCTTGTTGTATCGATCCTTTTACCATTATGTAATGACCTTCTTTGTCTCTTTTGATCTTCGTTGCTTTAAAGTCTATTTTATCAGAGATGAGAATTGCAACTCCTGCTCTTTTTTTGCTCTCCATCTGCTTGGTAAATCTTCCTCCATTCCTTTATTTTGAGCCTTTGTGTATCCTTGCATGTGAGATGGGTTTCCTGGATACAGCACACCGATGGGTTTTGGTTTTTTATCCAATTTGTCAGTCTGTGTCTTTTGATTGGTGCATTTAGTCCATTTACATTAAGGGTTAATATTGTTATTTGTGAATTTGATACTGCCATTTTGATGCTAGCTGACTGTTTTGCCCGTTAGTTGATGCAGATTCTTCATTTTGTTGATGCTCTTTAGCATTTGGTATGTTTTTGGAATGGCTGGTACTGGTTGTTCCTTTCTATGTGTAGTGCCTCTTTCAGGAGCTCTTGTAAAGCAGGC